GAAGTTGGACAATCCTCGGGGCCCATAAGGCCAAAGTTTGGGTGTACGGTTAAAGCATTTTTTTGAGGATGCAATACCCTCGAGAGGCCAAAAATTGCAGCTGCCGCCGGCCACTATTAACGTGAGTGGAGTACATGGTGATAGGGCTCGGAAGAAGGCAGAGAAACAATTAATAATCAAAAATGGGTTTGAGTTATTTTTATTCAAGGAATAATGAACTTGAACATTAACAAGTGGATCTTTTATGTGATGTTCATTATAGTACGATCGAAAGGAGGCAGGACTAAGGGTGGCTATGCGAATTTTATGAAATAATAGAGAAAAAAAGCAGGAATTCGAGCAAATCCTTAATAGGTCCAAGTCACAGGGATCTACGTTTCAAATAAAAAGTTGCATACAAGGGACTCGCAAATTGGGCTCAAAGCCTTTGGGTAGTATCGAATAGATTTTTGCAAACGGGTCATCGTCCTGTGATCCCGATCCATTCGTCGTCGTCTATCGTGTCGTGAATTTCTAAAGCACTTACTTTTATTTTACTTGAAAAGTATATCAGTACAAAATTCTGAGTAAGTAAGAAGACCTATGTTAGCCTCGAATGCTTACTTATAAACGAAAAATTCTGAGAAAATTGCATAAAAGAGGAATCAACGAGACTAGACATTGTGGGATTAGAGACTCGTTCAGAAGTGGTCTCACCTTTTTTATGTCAGATCTCGGCTCCGCAGGCGAGTAGACAATTCGAAAAATGAGATCCACTGATCCCATGGCTTCTGAAGATCCCATGAAGTGTGAGTTGCTGAGTTTATCCTCATTATCCAGCGCGGAGCTATATCCGGCGCCTTCAACCGCCTCCATTGGCTCGGTGCACAGGGCCATTTCTCCCAGTCCAGCCTCTTGAGCCTCTACGAAGGAGTCAGCTTCCTTCACTGCAATCAGCTGGGTCGCCTGTGTATGGCGGATGTTCGAGTCGAGACAAGCAGTGGGACGGTTTCCAGCGAAATTGTGCTCAAAGGTGCATTCGTTCGTACCGCAGATCGGAGAGGCGTCAGCCTCCTTGTCAGGCACCAGATGCTGGGGGTCAACTTGGTGACATTGGTGGACGGCGCCATTGTCGCCGGAGCAGAAGCTGGAAAGCGAGGCGTAGGATCGGGGCGACGAAGGGGTTGCACTTGTCAAAATGATGCTGTTGTGCACCATAGGAGTGAGGGAGGATGGCTTGCAAGAAGAGAGAAGCCTGTGTAGAGAGGAGGAGTAAGCGCAGGAGAGTCGAGATGCGGTGGAAGTCCGAGATAGGTTGGAGAAACAAGACATACCTTGGAAGCAGAGATTAGAATGCGAATCTAAAAATCGAGAAGATAGTAATAAAGAAAGGGCTATGTAAAGTAAAGGAAAAAAGAAAAAAAAGAAAGGGGAAGAAAAAATAAAAAGATGCAAAAAAATAAGAAAATAGAGAAAAGTAGAGAAGAGAAGAGATGAGAAGAGGAGAGAAGAGGAGAGGAGAGGAAGAAAATCTTATAGAAAGATAATAAAAGTGTACTTTTAAAAACTTTCTTTAAGCCAGTAAGTAGGTTTTCTAGACTACGAGTAAATCAGATATATGAGTTGTGCTCACTCTATTCCGTTTGACCTGATGAAGGAATGGTAGTGGAATTTTCCTTTAATGCTGAGTGGAGCTGAGGTTCCCATTTAATTTTGGATAGCTTAGCTTACACAAAAGCTTTTCTCATCGTGACTGGAATGGACTACATTTTCGACCTAGCGTTGTTCGAACCCCAAGGACGAGTTGAACTATGAAAGTGTAGCGTATGATATTGACAAGTTAACTACTACCCGAGCGCACTTGGGTCGCTGGGCAGATGTGAATTTCAAGGAAGTTCAGGTATTTTCTATATTACATTCTTTGTTGGGATTGTCGATGAAGTTAATTTATATGTGCTTTTTTCCGTGAGTAAGTAGATTTTCGAGACTACCGGCAAATAAGATATATGAGATGTGTTCATCCTATTCATGGCAATGTTGAGTAGCGGTTAACCTGTCAAGATTACACGCTGCACTGTCATGGTTCGACTCCAGATTGGGGTGTTGATAAGACTGAACTCCACTCCAACTGAGATGAAAACACCATCTGGGAAAGCAAGGCTATATGAAATTCAATAGAAGCGCCAGCTCCACTCATATCATTGTCGGTAAATTCAAATCCCCATCCTTCGTCACCTTAAACGAAATGGAGATAACACAACTCATATA